GGAATAAAGAATCAATTTTTTTGGATTGAAGAAGTAAGATTGCGTATTAATTACCACGCTGACTCTCATTCGCCCTGTTTTTGAAGTTTTTATGTTGTTCAAATTTGGAGAGTCCGTAAGAAGATTACATTATTAATTATTGTGTAGAACACAACATGTATTTACAATACGAGCTAGAAAAGAGAAAAGTATTATATTAAATACTAAAGAACATTATATTTTTTAATAATGTTTTTATATTATATTACATATAAAAATTGTGTTTAATACCTGCAAATTCCGGCTGATAATGCAATGCCCTCTCTTTTCGCAAGCATCGCCATTGGCCTTTCAAAACACCTATACCTCTTTCTGCAGAAGATCGTGCTTTTGTAAAATGTTCTGTGTATCTAAACTCTGGAGAGCCCAAAGGTGCGTTTATAAATGGTTTTAAAAGATAAGGCTTAAGCGGGTATGCGGAATCTCCTAAAAAGAATATTAAAATACACAATATACGACTCAAATGACCAAATGGCCTGCGAAGTTGTCATGTTATTAGCAATCATTTCAATACCAAGATAAACTAACATTTATATAATTTAAAATTACGAATGTTGTTGATTAATATAAACATAATGTAAATATAGTATTAACATAGTGTCAATATATACATATATATATAACATCAAATTATTAGCCATACCTATAAGCCATGATCCTCTTTCGCCTGCTTCCTGTTGTTCTTCTAAATAAACGTGAAGAACGGAAGACTCTGGAGTCATGTGTTCTTCCACCATGCATTGCATTTACTGTTAATATTTCGTTATTATAAGAACAAACCTATAAAGAGGATAGAAAAACATTATAAATATGTACAAATTATGTATTATTAAAATTGTATTTCTTACGGCATTAATTATTTTTATACTTACAATCATCACATTCAATGAATGATATTGTTTTCTATTAATAAAAAGGTGTTCTCGTTCAGTTTGTGGTGGAAAGATGGCAATATGAGTTCCGTCTATAGCGCCAATCACTCCTGGGAATCCAGTATTCTCAAAAAACCTGATATAAAAAATCAAATTAGATTGTAGAAATTTTTTTCCAACTTTACGTATATTACTTACTCTTGTTTAATTTCTTGTTTTCTTCTATCTGTTGTTGGAAATTGGATCCAATGTCCCATAATATTATTTAATGCATTTACAGTAGCATGAATAGAAACGGAGATGGAGGTTTGACTCATGCATGATAAAAAATCCTGTCCTACTTTTCTTTGATATGAACCAGATGCTAGAAAATGAAGTATTGCAAATACCTATAATAAAATCATGACAATTAAAAATACAAATAAAGAAAAAAAAGAAAATTTAAAGAAAAAATAACAATTTACTTGTAAAAGTTGAGGAATTGCTGTTTTTCGTTGCGGAACTGGCATAAAATTTTTCAATTCTTCAATTAATTGTACAGTTGCCGCTTTAGATAATCTGAAACATACAAATATTGCATAATGTACAATATACAACTTTTTATAGCATACCCAATAATATAACATTATTATATAACAAATTTTTATTAACAAATTTTATATATAATATTCTCGTACTTTCATCTCACATGAAAAAATACGTGCGATTGGCTATGAGCATAGTGAAAATGCGATATCCCTATGCTCACTAGAGTGAAAATTACAGATGCGAGTATGGTTGAATGAATAGCATAACTTTAATTGTAGAAAATGGTAGAAAGTTCCGAGACTTCCGAGTACATATGTACATATGTACATATGTACATATGTAGAGCCCGATTATAATTTAAAACAAAATATAATTTTCTTTTATCTAATACGTACCTATATAATTTGAGAAATGTGTTATCTGAAACATCAAATGGATTTTGTGTATCTCTTAAACTTCTCCTTATTATATTTACATTTTTTTGCCAACGTCTATTTATATCTCTCTCCTCCTCCCTCAGTAATGCAACAATTAAGTCCATTATTTATATTAATCTCGATGTATATGTTACGTCCTGACGACTCCACGATTCTTTTCTTTCGTGGAGAGAACTTATTTCTCAATTGCGAATCACTTGCAGTTCCATGCATGCAATCCCTAAGGTATCAGAGAGTCTATTAGAGAGTAAATAGCGTGACCGGTCGAAGATCGATTCTTAACGACGGAATAATTAATATCACCAAATAACTGTTAATTATAATCACACGTGTACGCCTAATGGCAGTATGACTCATAGAAATATGTGTAATCACTTCTATTTTTAGAAAAGGCTTTCCCAATAATTCAAAGAAAAATCATTAGTCA